GGTTGAAGTTACCTTGCAATTATCTTATAGGGTCATTAAAAAAAAATTTATTTATAGGGTCATTATGAGGATTAAAACAAGCAAACAAACAAACAAAAAACCTATCCACTGAATAGGGACCAGCGTGATGATAATTCTCCCTCATTTTTTGGCTGATGGACTACTTAGGTGCAGCTAGGAAGCCTCCTTTCTCCCATTCTTCATCTCTGGAGTAAACTCTGAGGTAGGCAAGAAGAAGGGGGAAGTTGCAGCCCAGTCTTGCATTTACTTCAGAGATTGGTTTCCTTTGAGCCAAGGCAGTGGTGAATTCCAGAGGCACAGCCCCTGTCCCACTCCCATGAGCCCCACTTCTCTGCATTCTTTGTTAGCTCTCTGGGTGATTCTGATGCACACCAAACTTTGTCTAGGTCATTCTGGACCCCAGGGAATCTCCCTCAAAATCAGCCCATTGTAAATACCCGTTTCAGTCATCTTCAACTCTCCGCCATTTCTTGGGCCACTGCTTCGACCTTGTCTTCGTGCCCATTTCCTGGGTCCTCTGTTGACAATGCCTGAGCTTTTGATGTATGGACTGTTCAGCTTTCTCAAGTCACATCCATTGCCACATGCTTGTTTACTTACTGGTTTCCCAAATTTTGTTGCTGTTGTCTTCTGTTCCCTTTACCCTTGTGGATTATGTCATTCTTTTTTTTATAATCTTTCCCTGTCATGTTAAAAATGTGGTTTCAAGAGAGAAATCAGGAAAAGTCTGCCATCTATAGTCAGAACCTTGTATTATTTTTAGCATAGGTTTTATTATTTCTTAGTTAACTGAATTTATTCTTAATGTTAATGTAATTCTTAAATCCAGTTTCATTTGTTTAGATGAGGATGAAAAGAAGTTGACTGACGAGCCTAAATTGCTAATAAAATGGTGCAACCGGGGTTTGTGCCCAGGCAGCTGGATTCTCAGCCACTCTGCCTCACCACCTCACTACAAACTGGAAGCTAAAAATGCTTCTCCATTGAGAGAGAATCTTGTATGTTGCAGGTGTGGAAAATGATGCCATCAGGAGGAGTCTAATGTGGAAATTGGCAAATTCTATTAGATTCCATTAATATAATTGTTTTATAACATGAATTAGAAACTGCTCATGAATAATAGAGTTTATCAACTGTTTTGCCTTCAAGGAGAATGTTTTTGCAAATTTCATTTTAGAGCAACTAGAATGACGTCATTTCCAGAACAGTTTGATTTGTTCTGTGCATCGGGGGAAAAAATACACATAGCAAAAGGACTGTCTCAGAGGGTGGACGTTTTCAGACAATAGTCATAAGACTAAGGAGAGGTTCACTGTAATCAACATTTCACCTTGTATGTTACTACTTCCTGATAGAATTTGGAATTAATGTGTCTAAGCCACCCACTTCTGTTCATTGAGTTTCAAGCCACCTAACATCATGACAGACCAGTTTTCTGTTACATGAGGAAATGGTTCCATTTAAATTCAGAACCCAGTGCTAAACCTTTCAGTGGGTTCCGGAACAAAATCTATCTCTTGCTTTGAGCTCAACAGTGTACCCTGTGCTACTCTTTGAGACATCTCCAGGTCCATTCATTTATTCTTGGTTCTAGCTACAGGCATTAAGTAGTTACATCACTATCTTTGGCATAAGAACTCTTACTTGACTTGGAGTTGGAGTCTCACTCTGTTACCCAGGTTGGAGTGCGGTGGCACTCTCACAACCACCGCAGCCTCAACCTGCTGGGCTCAGGCAGTCCTTCTGCCTCGGCCTTCCAAGTAGCTGCAACTACAGGTGCATGCCACCATGCCCAGCTAATTTTTCTTGATTTTTTGTAGAGATGAGATCTCACCAAGTTGCCCAGGCTGGTCTCAACCCCCTGGGCTCAGATAATCCTCTCGCCTCGGCCTCCCAAAGTGCTGGGTACAGGCTTGAGCCACCACGCCCGACCAAGAAAACATTGTTCTTTAAGACTGTGATTTGCTTACTTTTAAACCACCTCCCGATTCTGAAAATAATAGTATTTGCAGTATTTTTGTTTGCATCCTAAGGACTTCAGATTCAGTATGTGTATACTTTTATGTAACTCACACCACTCACGTTGCACTCTCGCTTTCTTCACACACAATCTATCCTAGATCCCAGATATGTGTTATAAACAAAAGAATGTTACTTAAGGTTCTCAGTTTTATTTCCTCAACTGTCAAATGGAGAGACTGTTGTTTACTTTAGAATATATGGTTGCTGTGAAAATGAGATGAGAAAAAATGAGGTGAATGAATTAAACACTTGTGCAGCATTGACTCTCCAAATTATTGATTTAATTAAAAAGCATCTTCAGATGAAGAGGGAAATATCCCGGTAATACATGAAGCTAGAAGTCAGCAGATGCAAAATCAAGCCTCAGCCTTGTCTGTCATGACCAGAAGCCCTTGGCAAGCTGCTGTCCTTGGGTGCTTGTCATCTCCAAAACTTCTCTGATCCTATGAAAACCTGGGACTGGCCAGGCGCAGTGACTCAAGCTAGTAATCCCAGCACTCTGGGAGGCCAAGGCAAGAGGATTGCCTGAGCCCAGGAGTTCGAGACCAGCCTGGGCAACTTGGTGAGACCTCGTCTCTACAATAAATAAAAACATAAGCCGGGCATGGTAACATTCATCTGTAGTTCCAGCTACTTGGAAGGCTGAAGTGGAAGCATCACCTGAGCCCAGCAGGTCGAGGCTGCAGTGACTGTGAACATGCCACTGCACTCCAGCCTGGGTGAAAGAGTGAGACTCCAACTCAGACAAAAAAATAAAAGAAAACCTGGGGCCATGTTGGGAAAATGGAAAAGAAGGAGGAAACTTCTTAAGTACAGAATCAGTGAGCTGGATAGTTTTCTTCCCTTGACCACTAGCATGTCAGACCAGCTCTCTGACCTTTGGGGCCTAGGCTACTGTGGAATAAGCCACCCATTTAATGGGCACCAGAGAGTCTTGCAAGCCAAGAATCCCTCTCCCTGAAGGTCAGTATCCTGGCACAGGTGTTATAACCAGGAATTAAACTCACTCTTATAATAGCTGTTCATAGTCTGAAGACAGGTTCTTCCCATAAAATTTTTAAGCCAAACAAAAAGAGGCCCTGAGGCTCTTGTCTGGATAATTTCCATTTGCATATGGCCCAGATCTCGGGCATATTTCAAAGACAGTTTCACTGTGTATGCATCCGTGTCAGGATTTGGGCTTGGGAAAAACATCCTCTAGAGAATTTCTAAAATCATTCTCAGGATTCCGTTCTTGCCTTTTCTTCGCAATTTCAACCTAGACACCTGCCATAGTGTAATGCGAATGCACCAGTTTTGTTCTCTTGGTTATGTGTCGGGTTTAATTTGTTTTCCCAATACTCCTTCCTCAACTTTGCCCATGTCTCCTATTACTCAAACTGTTTTATTCTTCTTCCTTATCCATGAAGATACTTGAATTTTAGGAGAAAGAGGGAATCTTCCAAATTTTATACCTTAATTTAATATATATGGGATTTACATATGAATAATTAGCCCCTAAAAGGAATAATCTAAGGAATTACTCTAATTGCTTACTTTATGCATTTTTATATACTGATTTTTTTTTAAAGGTTTTATTATGACCAGGCTAGTCTTGAACTCCTGGGCTCAAGCTATCTTCCCACCTCGGCCCTCCTAGTAGATGAGACATCAGGTATGCACTACCATGCCTGGCTCTGTACTGAATTTAATATACAATGTATAATTCTTATTACCTGTTAAAATTCAGGGAGGAGGGTTTTATTATAATTACGCAACTTTTTGATTATTGCTAAATGTCAAAGAATATCTTATGTGTCTTTCAAAAGTAGGTATATATCTCTTAGCAAGAACCTAACCTATTTTAATGCAGTATTAGACTTTTTTCTCCAGAACCTCAGAGAAAAACAAAATTTTAAATGGGGAGGTTTATTGTTTGATTTATCTTATAAGGTTTGTACTTGCAAACTTACCACTCAATTTTTTTTTTTTTTTTTTTTTTTTTTGAGTTGGAGTCTCACTCTGTCGCCCAAACTGGAGTACAGTGGCCGCTCTCGGCCACCGCAGCCTCGGCCTGCGGGGCTCTGGTGATCCTTCCACCTCAGCCTTCCAAGTAGCTGGAACTACAGGCGCGCACTACCACACCCAGCTAATTTTTTTTTGATTTATTGTAGAGATGAGGTCTCGCCAAGTTGCCCAGGCGGGTCTCAAATCCATTCAAATTTTTTATAAACATTTTCAAATGCATGAGTCTCCTGTTTTTCTCTAATAAACATAGGATTTTTTTTTTTTTTTAGCATATTTAGCTTTTCTAAAATGGAGGACCCTTGAGATTATCCTTTCTACATCACCTCCTGGGGTCTAGAACCAAAGATGTACAACTTCCAGATTGACTTCATGTTTGACACCTCCCTCTAGCCTGGCAATGCTTGATTCTAGGAGGCATTTAATTGGTACTCAGGAGTATAGCACACAGAGCATCTGATTAACTGAGACATATCGTTATTTTACACCACCAAATCAAAATTTCACTGTACTTTAAGGACCTTAGAATTGGGTTTAAACTTCTGGTTTAGTATTTGTGGCAACATGCGTTGTAGGAAAAAGCACTGGCTCACAAGTGAAGAGGCCCGGGCTCCAGTTGTAGCTTTGCTGTTGACTACTGCAAGGCACCTGGTTAACCTTGACCAACATATTTCCTCATATACAGAAGGAAAGACAGAGCAACCCTGAAGACCCTTTTTAGTTTTCACCCTCCTCCCTGGTCTGTGCTTTCAGGTGAGATGTCTGCAGAGGAGAAACTGGCTGACACGGGACCATCTGCGGTGCAGCTTATCTGTTGCTTTTTGACCCTCTGAACCTTTCTTCTCACATGACACCTGTATCGCTGCTCCTTGAGTCTTGAGATAACTTCTTAGAGGGGACAGCATAAGTCACCGCAGAGCCAACCCATCAGCTCTGTACTTTCTGCATTTCAGATGCCTGGCACAGATGAGCCCCAAGATGTGTGCAGCAGTGAGGACTCCAAAGGGAACTTGGAAAGTCCCAAACAGGGCAACAGTAAAATAAAGCTCAAGAGTCGTCTCTCAGGTAAGTGAGGCCTCTTTGCCTGATACAAGCCGACTACAAATACGTCAGCCACAGGAGGAGGGGGATAATGCCATTTGACCTTCCCTTAAAAGGTCAAAACTGGGTGGGGTACAGTGGCCCTCATACTTTGGGAGGCCAGCACAGTAGGATTTCTTGACCCCAGGAGTTCGAGATAAGCCTGGGCAACACAGCAAGACCTTGTCTCTATTTAAAAAAAAAAGAAAATAAGCCGGGCTCGGTGGCTCAGCCTGTAATCCGCGCCTTTGGGAGGCTGAGGTGAGTGGATTGCCTGAGCCCGCGGGTTCGAGACCCGCCTGGGCAGCGAGACCTCATCTCTACAATAAATCAAAAAATCAGCCGGGCATGGTAGCACATGCCTATAATTCCGGCTACTTGGAAGGCTGAGGCAGAAGGATCGCCAGAGCCCAGCAGGTCGAAGCTGCGGTGGCCGAGAGCAGCCACTGCACTCCAGTCTGGGTGACAGAATGAGACTCCGACTCAAAACAAAACAAAAAAAAAAAAAAAAGAAAGAAAGAAAATATGAGACTCCAACTCAAAAAAAGAAAAGAAAACAAATTTTTTTTAAAAACTCATAATAGTTTTTTTCTTGGGGGATATGTGCCCCAGACATAACAACTGCATTCGGCCTGGCTGCCCATGTGAATATTTTTATTTGAATGATAAAGTAAAGGTCAACATCTCTGTGTGTCTCTGGGTGCCAAAACTTAAATTTTCTGTATGTTTGGTTCGTTTACTTGAGTAGGATTTCAGGCGAAATCCTTTCAGTGTGGAATATCCCTGACAGCTTGTCTTCTCAGCAAACATGCCTTTCCCCAAAACCCTTGGGCCACCAGAACGAGTGGCAAAGGCCCATTTATCTAGCATCAATTCTGCTTCTCAACTAAGCAGGGAAAAGATAGGATGGAGTTGTAGCTTTGGAACAACAAGACTCTGTGTCTCCCGGCCATCTCCTCATAGCAGCTGGCCAAGGCCCTGAGAGAGAAAGCGTTGAAAGCTTTGAGGCTGTGTACAGGAGGCGTGTTGTGACTTCCGTGAGTCGCTATGAAAGGTACTTTTCTGGGCACTTTTGCCTTGATGGACCTTTTTCTCCATTAAAAAAAAATTTATTTATATATATATTTATTTATTTATATATTTATATATATATATATATATACACACAGAGAGAGAGAGAGAGAGAGAGAGACAGTATTTTATGGCCACACTGGTATAAAGATACAGCTGGACTCATTAGTATCTATTACTATTATGCTCATTTATTTCTGCATTTAAAAATAAATTCAAATGGAAACATGTTGTGGTCTCCTAAAATGGGCCTGGACCCCTTGGCACTATGGCTGTGGCCTGGTGGAGAGTCAGCACTGGCTCCCCTGACAACAGACATCCTGTGCAACAGGAAAAGAGAGTGTTCTGAGCCCAGCAGGACCAGGCTGCCCGCTGGGCTCCTGAGTTACCTTGTGAGCTTGGGCTGGTTGTTTAACTTCTGCTCCCTCGCCTGAAAAAGGAGATGACACCATGATGGGAAAAGTTGAACAGATCATTTAAAAATGCACAGAAGAGCATGAAGCACAAAGAATAGCTTGTTAACACCTAAAAAATGTCAGTACCTGCCTCCTGTCACCCAAACCAGTGGAGAGAGCACGGCCACATGGCCACCAACAATATCTCGTTTGGTTTGTCCTGCCCTCTACCAAGTTAAACTCAGGGCAGAGGGCAGGTATGGGACCAGGAAATACATTTTAAACAAAAAACAAACAAACAAAAAAAACCCTTGATTAACAAAATGAATTGTTTTGTATTTGTGACTCAGAATTATTGGACCGTGTTACATTTGAATTCCCGAGTGTTAGAATATGAATTTGTGGGGGGAAAGGAGTGGTGATGCCCAGAGGCTGATGAAGAGAAATCTGAGACGTCCTGAAGGTTCTCATGGAGACAGAGACCTGCCCAGCCCAGCCCTGAGGAACAACTGAGAGCAATGCATTTAAGTCCTGTGTGTGTTTGGGGTGAGGAGTCATGAGGGCACAGAGGAGGTCTTGTCATGAGAGCACAGAGTCATGAGGGCACAGAGGAGGGTGTCTCGGCAGAGTTGTTGAGTACCTTATAAACGGGTTCCCAGGGACGTTCCCAGAGTTCTGAGGAAACACAGGGGCCTCTGAAACCAGCGAGATCACATTCCTTGTTTTATGGATGAGACTGGAGAAGAAGAGAATCCCAAAGGTCAGTGGCAGGAAAAAGATCTGCCTCCCGGACAGAGTTCTTCTTCCCCACCCTTTGGCTCCCTAGAGATCTTGAAAGGAATTTTTGTTCCCCAATCCAGGACTTTATCAATGCAGATAAGGGGAGGTGGTGGGTACAGCTGGAGAACCTCCCAAATGTGTGATTTTTCCAGTCCATGCTGTTTAGAACAAGCAGCACATACAGCTGAGTTGTAAGTCCAGGGCTAGCCACTGTTTGCCACGAATGCCACCCTCTCTCCCTGTGTCCTTCCCAGACATCAAAGGCCCTAACAAGGAAATGTAGCAGGGGGGAGGGAGCAGAGGCAAGGATCAGGTGGAACTGTGTTTAGTGCTCCTACTTCTGGTTGGACGATCTGGGACGAATGACTTCCCCAGATCTGTTTCTTCATCTGTAAAATGAGGATGACAATACACGCTTACTCTGCCAATACATGTGAGTGCCATGCCTTGTGGAAAGCTTGTGTTGAGAGACTGTTGATAGCACTGTTACTCCACAGTGTGGCAGCAATCGGTCCTCCCCCTGTGGGAGCTGCCACTGTTACCATTGTCATTAGTATCACTTTCGTCATCATCATCATTTTCTTTTTCTTTTTTTAATTAAATTTTTAAACCTTATTTACTTATTTTTGAGTCGGGGTCTCATCCTGTCACCCAGGCCAGAGTGCAGTGGTACTGTTAAAACTCACCACATCCCTGACCTCCCAGGTTCAGGTGATCCTTCTGCATCAGCCTCCCAATTAGCTGGGTCTACAGGTGCACGCCACCATGCCCAACTCTTTTGTTTTTGTAGAGACGAGATCTTGCTATATTGCCCAGGCTGGTCTCAAACTCCTGGGCTTAAAGCAGTTCCTCTGCCTCCCAAAATGCTGGGGTTACAGACGTGATCCACCATGCCCGGTCTCATTTTTATTCTTCTTCTTGCCTCTTTCGCTTCTAAGAGGGAAAGACATTTAAATAGGTTATGATAGGAAGGCCTTCTCAAGAACGTGTAATCCCAGTGGAGGATTAACACACATGTACACACAGTGCAAGCCATGATGAGGCACACATGAGAGGTACAAATACTGGAAGTCTCTCTGGGTCGTTGTCACTCTGGGGAGGTGTCCAGAGGATGCAGGGTAAAGGAGGGCCAGCACATTGGTGGGATTTGGTAGGACAGAAGATGGGGAGAACAATGGTCTAGACTTGGGACCAAATGAATGAGAGATTCTTAGGAACAATGGGGAAAAAATTAACTAGAGAAGTTTTTGGCAACTGCTTCTCCTCCCCAGCAACTCGATCCAATAGAATCTGTCACAATGATTTGATCCAGCAGGACTAGTCAGAGTGACTGGGGGAAAGGACATAGCAGAATCTCAGGGTGGGAGACGACAGTGCAGACACAATTTGGCAAAACTTCATGTAATATTTACAAGTTCCGCAGTTAGGGAAAGGAGGGAAGAGGAGAATAGACCCTCTCCTTTGAGGATGATCAGGACAAAGCAACAAACAGAGCGAGCTAGAGGGAGATAAACCTGAAGAGTAATTTGGAGACACATTAACAAGGCTTAGGGAATTGGGCTTTGATTCTGTGCTATGAAAAACATTCATTCTAGCCGGGCTCGGTGGCTCAGCCTGTAATCCCGTGCCTTTGGGAGGCTGAGGTGAGTGGATCGCCTGAGCCCGCAGGTTCGAGACCCGCC